GTTTCCCAAATGGCGCTTTCATTCATGTTCACAAGTAAAGACAGATGGACGAAAACAGTGTGAAGTTGTGGATAAGAAATGTTTGACAAAAGCATCCTTTTGCCTTAAAAAATCCACAAATTCTTTTAGTCTCGGACATGTTTAGATCTCATCTAACAGGTAATACGAAGCAATTATTAAAGAGCACAGACATGGCAGTTATTCCATGCGCTTTAGCATCATTAGTTCAGCCTTTAGATGTGTGTCTCAATAAACCACTCAAAGAAAACTTAAAACAGCAGTGGAATATGTGGATGTTAAAAGGTGAAAAACATTTACAAAAGAAAGCCAAACACATCATGCCAGTTTAGAAATAGTGTGACAGTGGATAATAAAAGCAAGGAAAGAAATTAAACCAGATATAATTCAAAAGTCATTAAAAAAGTGCAGTATATCTAACAACCTAGATGAAATCAGTGCAGGCTTATCCATTGGGTGCTTGGGCAGGCACTCAGATAAGCTGGACACAACCAGAATTTCTGGTTATAAATTTCAAAAATTTAAGATAAAAATTCTCTAGAAAAATAGTAAATGATTTTGCAAAAATAATCTGTGCCTCTCACCTGCACCCCCATGTCCGTAGATATTTAAAGACGGCGTGGGAGCCTTAGCTATCGACGGATAAAACTTATGATAATGCCGCAAATATTTTGGAGTGTTACACAGGAGTACAGGTAAGAATACAAGAATTGTCACCTAATGCTATTTATGTGCCATGTTCAAATCATTCATTAAATCTTGTAGCTAACTTTGCATGCAAGCCCAGCTTGGAAGTAACTGACTTATTTTACAGCTGTTCAAAGTATTCACCTGTTCTTTTCGGCTTTTCCTCAAAGATGGAACTTACTGCAAAGTTGTAAATGTTCTGTAAAACGATTGGTTGAAACTAGATGGTCTGCCTGATTTGAAGCAGTAAACCCTTTGCATAAAAACTACAATGCAATAATTTTTTTTTTCAATTAAGCAATAAAACAGAAGAGAAACCTGCAGTTAGAAGTGAAGCGAAGGCTCTGTACAATAAAATGGACACCTTCGAAACAGCTCTATTAACATCGACTTGGACAAAGATTTTGGAACGAGTAAATGCAACCTGCAGAACTTTACAAACCGTGAACTTGAACGTATCATTTCAAGTAGAACTGATGACGTCTCTGTTGCAGAAATAAGAGAACCCTTGAACGAAATCAAGTTAGAAACGAAAGACTTTCCTTCAAAAGCGAGGCTATCACAAACATACACTATACAGATGAACTTCAAAGAGAAGAAAAGTATTTTTTAATGAATCAACTGAAAATTAAATCTCTTAAGAAGCGCAAGAAAGATTTAGAATTGAAGCATTTAATGTAATATGTGACAATATAACTCAAGACCTTCAAAAAAGAATTAAATGTTATGAAGAAGTAACATCAGCATTTAAATGTTTCTTCACCCCAAACAAGGAGGAAATCAAAATATAAATTGACATTTTTTGTGAGAAATATAGGAACGATATTGATGAAACCAAAGAATATTTACAAAACGAAGTTATTCCTTTTCCAGATTGTGAAAAAATTTAAATAAAAACACCATTTAGGAAAAATTTCAGGTTGTCCAGACAATGAAAGCAACTTTTCTGAATATTCTAACTTTATTGCAAATTTATTTAATGATACCCATTTTTACGTGTCAGGCAAACTATCTTTTTCGGCCCTAAGAAGAATAAAAACATACTTAAGATGTAATTTGAGTCAAGAAAACCTTGACGCATTGTCACTATTATATATTGAATATAACGCACCGGAGAAACTTAATAGTGATACTATCATATGTCAGTTTGCCAATAATAAGTCACGAAAAAGAATGTAGAATTTTTGTGATGTTATATCTTAGAATGTTATTTTTACTTTTTTTAATGTTATATTTTAGAATGTTGTTTTTGTTTTTAATATTTTTTTTATAATAACACTGTTTTGTTTTTTTATTTATATATATATTTTTACAATAAAAATTAAACATCAAATTTTTGTTTCATTTGTTAATGAATCCAAGAGCCTGGTCCTTGGATTCGGCAGTGCCAAAGGTACCATAGATCTTTTGCATCCAGGTCCCAAAATGAGCTTAAACCAGCAATGGATAAAATAGAAGATGATTCTCTATTTACAGATCAGAGTAACAGTGATTGTGAAGATTATAGCAGAAGTGCCTGAAGATATATAGCAGAAGACGAATATGATGATCTAATGTTATCCGATAACGAAAATTTTTAAGTTCATACAGTATGCCATTTCTTTTAAATAAACCGCATTTAGGTACACACAGAAAATTTTTTTTATGCTCAATCCTTATTTTTAAATCTATCGTTTTTATACTCAGGGTATAACGCACACCTGTAAATTTCAATCTTATTTTTTTGGTATTGAAAGTGTGCATTATACACTAGAATATACGGTAAGTGTTTAACTCTCTTTTGATATCAGAAGAAATTTCAGTTATAAATATTCTTTACCTTATATAGTAGTCTATTTCAATTTTTCTTCCAGAAAGTGCTGCATCTGTTTGAAAATCTTTAATAGGTATTTAAAGGCTTTCTAGGAACAGTAAGATAACGGAAACAACTTTTGTTTCCTGTATAACAAAAATCAATTTTAATGATACAAATAGCTTTATAGTTTATTCACAGAACTTTTAATATTTCAAACTGTTAAAGCATTATAAAAGAAAAATTGGATTATCAGGACCAGGTTTAGAAATGTATGTATGTGTATGTAAATACATATGCACATACATACAAACACACAATCATACATTTCTCATTCTGGTCCCGATAACAGAACAGTACCAAAAATTGTTTCATGATACAATACTTTTTTAAAAAGTTAATATATTTTATTTTAGATGTTCACACAATTAAAAAAAAATGAATCTTGTCACATTTACCTATAAATGCATTTCATCAGTAACTGAAATTTTAGCTTGCAGTGCATTCTAACCACAGAAGAGTTAAGCCAATCCCAATATATTCAGCTCCTATCCAGTTTTAAAAGCTGATGTTAATTATATGGAACCACTTAATAGAAGCTTTGCAAACAGAGGTTAAATCAAATTAACAACTTAAAAATGAAATGGTGATACAACGTCCTGTTAAAAAAACTCCGAAAATTATTATCCATGAAGTAGATTGACTAAGCTCTAGAAGACCTTAAGACAATGATCCAAGACCAAAATATGGTCTTTGAAGATGGTGGCTTTGAATTTAATTTTCGAAGAAAGGTCGAAATAATAAAGTACACTGGATTGCTAGTGTAGATGCGAAGGAATATAGGGCCTTAATGAAGGTTAGTAAACTTAACACAAGGTGGTCCTGCCTTAGGATTAAAGAATTCTTGAAAGTAACACAGTGTTTTAAGCACTTTAAGTATGGGCATTTTCAAACAAAACGCCAAGAATCACAAATATCTGCAAGATGTGGTGAAACTGGACATAAGCATTGGGAGTGAAAAGCAACTTCCAAGTGTATTAGCTGTCAAGAAGCAAACCATAAATACAAGCTGAAGCTTAGCGTTGATCATTCTAATCTAGTTAAAAATTGTCACTATCATGAGCAACAAATGGATCTCTTAATTAATCGTATCTGGCCTTATCAAAGAAACTAAATTGGTATAAGGCTTCCTGAATACGTCAGGTTATACTGATTTTTCCGACGGTTCTAAATTAAATGGTCATGTGAGGTCAGCTTTTTGCGAGTTTTCAAGTGGCAAATTAAGTATACAAAGAAAGCACAGATTATCTGATAACGCATCTGTCTATCAGGCAGAGCTAGTGGCTTTGCAGGAGGCCCTGTAGTGACTTATTTCAAATTTCACACAAGAACCTGTTGAGATCTATAATGATTGTCAAAGTGCTATTATTTTAATTACATACTTTCATCCTAGTAACTATCTAATAAAGCAGATACAGGACATGCTCAGCTTTCTTGGCTCTTTTACAGATATTAAACTCTTTTGGACGAAGAGGCATATCAGCACTACCAGTAATAAGTTAGCCGACAGACTGGCAACGTCTACCACTGAAAGTGAAGTTATATGTTTTGATTTAAAAACTTCTTTTGATTGCCTGAAATTCTTGCTGAAAAGAAGAAGTGTGACTCCTTGGCAGGCAAGGTGAAATGACCCTGATTCCAAAGGGAAGTTCACTTAAAATCTAATTTCAACAGTACGTGAAAGAACGTGTATAAATGACAAGTCTTAATCAAGCCTTGACTCATCATAGACATTTTACATCTTATTACGGAAGGTTCTCGATAGAAAACTGTGCTTGTCTTTGTGGTATAAGAAATGACAATTTAGTCGTTCCTCTATGAAAAATATCATACAAAGATTTATACCTAACATTGTTAAATTTAATACCTTAAATGATTTACGTAAAAATGTATCTAAATTAAGATTGTCAAATTTTGTAAACTGTGTGTGTAACTGAAATGGAATTGTATATTGAATGAGTTCAGAATATTTTGTTTGTTTTATTTAAAACTAAAATATTTATATTTATATTATTAATTTATTTTTTGTACATGTAAGTAACACATGTTTTATTTTGTATTACAAAGTTTGTAATTAAGTATTATTTGTTGGAGTGCTTAGTAGATCTCGCCAGTCTTTTGAGAAGTTTAAATCTCTAGTAGTTAATACTTTTCCCCCCTTAGTTATTTTAAAGCAGTATGGTGGCTGTTCTGCTGTTTGTGGGCCTGGATGGTTCCATTTTGGTATTTAATGTCACATTTATAGCTCTACTAAGCCCTGTTAAGCCCCTAACGGTGGTACATGTAATTTTGTAAGTGAAGTGGTGTGACCATTATAAATGATGAGAATCCATAAAATGTGAAACTCCTCTAAGCTCAGCTTTAAAATTAAAAAAATATCAACCACATTCAAGAAACATTTTTCAATTTTAAAATGAACTTCAAATTATATTCTATTATATACCTCAACACAACAGCTTTTTCTCTCGTTGTTTGCACCGACATGCCTACTTGAAACTTGCGCACTGAGTCCCATTTTTAAAGCTGGATTTTTAGGTGTTCTAGATGAAGTTTTAAAATCTGTATTCTTCTTTTGTCGTGTCCTTCTTCTTACTTTCATGACAAGATTAAATCTCTATAAATAAATAATCTGAATAAATAAGTAAGTAGACATAAATAGAAATATCAGGTTTTAACGAAAGTTTTCCATCACCGCAAATATCGTATGCACAGTTTGCATTGGTGTGTTTAATCATATTTTGTCAAGTGATTTTTGGCATTTGAAAGAAAGAGACTTGCATGAGAACACTATGTTGTAAAAGTGTACAAAAATATTGTAAGTACATTAAGCACAAGACGTTTGAAATTGAATTATCATGCTACCAGATTAGAACCACTATTTACTTCCAGTTCTGTTGCAAAAAATCAGCTACAGAATGTCACCAAATCATGCGTACAGCTTTAAGTACTAATGTTACATCATATGATACTGTGAACATTTGGTACTGAAAGTTCAAAAACAAGGATTGTGACATTCAAGAAGCAGAGCAGTCTGGCCAGCCTACTGACGTTCATGAGGCCCGTCTGCAGGAACTTATGGAAGAAAATCAGTATGCAACCACTCAAGAGCTTGCTAAAGAGTGCCATGACATTAGTGCCATGTCCATTAGTTGCAATATGCATTGCATAAACTTGACGAACAAGTTCAATTGCGGGGTGCCGTATGAGCTGACTTAAGTGCATAAGGATGGAGATTGTTTGGGCCTGCTGTAATGTGCTCGAATATCAATGCAAGAACAAAATTCTGAACTGGATAGTCGCTTGTTATGAAAAGTGGATTTACTTCAAGAACATAGACTGAAAAGGGGGCTGGTCTGCGCCCGGTGAGCCCACTGTCTGCATCGCAAAGTGCAATTTGACTAGCAAAAAGAGCATGCTTTGTATCTGGTGAAACTGCAGTGGTATTATCCACAAAGAGTATCTAAAAAGGGAAAAAACCCTCAACAGTACGGAGTACAGTGAGATGCTAGTCTGTGCTGATGTCGCTATCAAGGGAAAACATAAAACTGAGTTCTGGCATAAAAGGTTACATCAAGATAACGCAAGATTACATGTATCTGCATTCACCAGCTGGACTCTGTACGGACTCAAATGGGATCTTTTGCCACATAGCCCCGACATCGCTCCTTCAGACTTCTAGCTTTCTTTCACACCTACAGCTACATCTTGCTGGCACTATTTTCCATTCTGCACAGGACATCTGAAATGAGGTTGATCTGTTTTTGGATTCGCGGTGACTAAGTTTCCGTGCCGACGGCTGTGAAAACCTACCAAAACATTGGCAGAAAATCATAGATTAGGTGGTGATTACTGCAGTAAAGATACCGCTTTCATTAAAAAAAAAAAAAAAAAAAAAAATACACAACTTTATTAAGAACATTTTTGGGCAGAAAACTTTCGTTGCAACCAGATAAATAAATAAACTGAACTCAAACTGACATATATAAGATGTAGAGAATAAAGATGTTTACTTTAGAGAAAGAAACTGAAAATGATATGGTTCTAGCTCCTCTACTGAGGAGCAGAACCATATAATTTTAGGTTAGTAAGGAGATTTTGCTTTGGACACCCAAATCATCAGATATGTCTCCAATCAAGCATGTGTGAGAAGACTGATCTATAGCCTATCAAGACCACTAAGAAATATCAATTTACAACATGCACAGTAGCTGTATTGGATTTTTCCTTTCTTTATCCAATTAGCTAACAGTATGCTTAATTGGATAACCACATGTGCAATATATATATGCTACTCAAGATTTAATATCACATGGGCGCCATGTAATAAATACAGTGTACTGCATGATAATACTAATAAAACTAGTTCTGCATGGACTTTTCGGAACATCTGCTTTTTTGAGACCTCAATACTTTCAGCGCTGTATCATATGTACAAAAAATACAATTTAACTTTTATTAAAATATTACAAGAGAAAACGGGAACATTTTTTTTATACTGTATATATATATATATATTGCATAATACATGAAAGATATACGCTTTTACAAAAAAAAAAAAAAAAAAAAAAAAAAAAAAAATCGAAGTACCATGAAGGAAGTGGTTGTTTTTTTGTTTTTGATGAAATTGAATATGTGTACAGCTCATACACACATAATAAAATGATTAAAAAATCAAGGTCATAGTACCTGTTTATGGCTCACAATCACCCATTGAGTGCTCAAATTAGTAGTTGGTCGAACCGCCCCTAGCAGCAATGCATGCTTGAATTCGTCGAGGCAAGGAGTGGTAGAGGTTCCTAATGTTCCTGCAACACACTCTGCCAGGCATTCCTCGGTTGTCACTCCAGATCTGCGATATTTTGTGGTGCCCGAATCTGGCGGCCTACTATGTCCCAGACATGCGTGACTAGTGAAAGGTATGGTGACCTTGCAGGCCAAGGAGGAGTATCAACCGAATGGAGACAGTCTAGAGATATGCAAGCAGTATGTGGCCTTGCATTACCTTGTTGGAAAACGGCCCCAGGATGACGTGCCATGAAGGGAATGCAACTGGCCGCAGGATGGTATCAACATATCGTTGAGCTGTTAAAGGTGTACGGAGGATGACTAAAGATGACCTACTCTCCTACGAAATACCATGCCACATCATCACACCAGGTGTTATGACTTTGTAAAACAAAGGCTGGTTTTCATGTCACCACCATGTTCATGTCAGGAGACCTGCCCTCTCCAGACATGAACAAGGTGGTCATTTGCTTCAAGAGTGAAGTGGGATTCACAGCTGAACACTAAACAATACTAGTCTGATGGCAGCCATGATTATCGGCTGCGACACCACTCCAGACAACTCTGACGATATTGGGGGGTCAAAAAGGCACAAAAAGGCAAACGTCTTGAAGGCCTCTGTGAGCGTATCCTACTTCAGACAAGCACTGTGAGATGGTGGACAGTACCACGGGAGGTAGAGACTTAGCTGCAGTGCGTAGAATAGTCGACAATGATACCGTTGGCAGTTCAGGCCTGGCGAACAATCATCCTATCTTGCCTCGCATTTGTGATCCTTGGCTTTCATTTTGTCGGCAATTTCCTTGTAACAACCACTGCTGCCAACATATTTGCACAGCAGTGTCTGTATGCTGCAGGTGGCGGCCTATTGCTCGGTATGACCACCCAGCTTCACGCAACCCTACAATGCGACCACCTTCGAAGTCATTTAGTTGTCTGTAAGGTCTTCAACATCGTCGTAATGCCATCTTTAGTTGCCTCTTTACGGAATTATAATGGCAGCAACAAAAAAAAAAAACATACATTTTCCGCCTCTTTTACTGGTTTTATACTTTGCAAATTGCTCACTAGAAATGCCCGTTATGATCACAATTCCTGTTTATTTGCCTTGAAACTTTGATCATTTGCATGTTTGCTCCAGATGTTTTGCATACCAAATTTCGTCACAATCGCAAACGTCCTTCTTGGTGCTTCGATTTTTTTTGCAAAAGAGTGTATATTATATAAGAGATATGTAACATATATATTATATAAGAAATATTTAGTTTAGCTTTTATTAAAACAGTACATGAGAAAATAAGAATTTAGCATTTATTAAGCATTTAAGAATTACTAATAACTCCATTAATGCCAACAAACTTTTTATTATCAAGCAGAATGAATAGTGCCAAATTGGTGTAGCCATCATTAATACTTACTTTCCCCTCAGTACCGTTTGGTCACCCAGACATAAAATACACTACAAAGTCCGAGATCCAGACTCATCGGGACTTCAGCTATTCCGGATTTGGGATTTTTCCGGAACATCATCAGTTTAAATTTTGCAAGATGGCATGTAGAAATTATAAAATTAAAAATATGAAATTGTGACTTATGAAATAATGAAGCATTTATGAGCTAAAGGGCATCAAAATTTACCAAAAAAAAAAAAAAAAAAAAAAAAAAAAGCTTAATATTTATTTATTAATTACTTCTTTCAGTGTTTTTGTTTTTTGTGCTACTACTTTCTCTTTAATTGTATAGGCAGATATAATTTCTTGTTTAGTTACAAAGTTACATTGTTCACGTCCTGTAATTGCTGTGTCAAGAATTCCGACTAACTTGTCAATCTAAATTTTTTTCTTTTTTAATAACCTCTCTGTCACTTTCTTCACTATCGGTAGTGGTATTATTTTCTGGATCTAGAACCATACAGATTTCACCATCCGCTAATTTATTGATGACTGGGGTATTATCATTACAATGAAAAAGTTCTCACCTAGCAATATTCGAAAACCTTCAAATTCGCGGCTATCTTTTTCATCATCCTCACCATGAAATATGGTACCTGGCCATATATTATGCCAAGCATTTTTAAAAGTATCTGGAGACACATCCTCCTACGATCTTGCAGACTTTATGCTAAAATATTTAAAACATTCTTGAATAGTCTTGCCATTATTCAAGAAATTTAAAGTGGACTTTAAAAATGCTACTTTATATTTGCATTTCAGCAGGCACACTATTCCAGTGTCCTTACACTGAATGATAGATGCACAATTAGGAGGAAAGAATAATACAGATACATTATCTTTCACTAGTGAAGTATGAGCTCTACAGTTGTCTAAAATTAGGACAATTTTTGCGTCATCAGGTAAACCAACTGAACTGAAATGTTGCTGCACATTGGGGTACAAAATGATTTTCAAATGAATCATTTATTAATGCTTGTCATCCATGCTCTTTTATTTGCATGATATATAACGGAGAAAATGTTTACTCCTTTAAATGTTTGAGGTTGTGTATTTTTTCCGATTACAAAAAGTTTACTTTTGTGCATTCCTGCAACACTTGCACATGCTAAAACTGTTACTCGTTTTGGAATCTTTGACATCAATTACCACCTTTTCTGTAGAGGTTGTCAAGGTATTTTATGATACACACTGCCAGAAAAGACCAGTTCCATCAGCTTTGTAAATCTGTTCTGGAGATAACTTTTCACCATTAATGATACATCTGCAAAGAGTTCAGAGCTTCAGTATCAGCTGAAGCTTTTTCACTTGAAATTTTTAATTGCCTTATACCATGTCAATTTTTAAATTTGCTTAACCAACCTATCGAATATGTGCACTCAGTTTCGAAGTTCATTTCTTAATGAAATATTTTGGCTTGAGAAAAGACCAATTTCATCAGCTTTGGAAAGTTGTTCTGAAAATAACTTTACACTATTAATGAATTCATCTGCAAATAGTTCTGCAGCTTCAAAATCAGCTAAAAAATTTTTCACCTGAAATTTTTAGTTGTCTTATACCATAGCGATTTTAAAATTTGTTTAACCAACCTGTCGAATATGTGCATTCAGTTATTAAGCTCATTCCTTCATCAAATATTTTGGCTTGAGCCATTAAGCATTGGACCTGTCAATGGCTATGCTGTCTGATCCATTCAATCATCACTTTGTTATGATTGTTGACATAATCGAAAGTCCAAATTTTAATTTTCATAAAATTGCTGTAATAATAAGCTGGATCAAATCAGAAAGTTAAGGAACAGTGCAGTCTGCTATATAAACTGAAATTTCTTGGAATAGTAACGTAGAATTTTAGCCTAGCTTAATAGCATCCATTATACATTATTGGCTATGATTGGCAATGAAAGAGAAGTTGTGCCACTAAATTTTGTCTTGCTTCTATCACGCACTGAGACAATTAAGCCTGAATTCTTATTAGTTTAGTTATATATTATATCTATTTCTTCCACATGCTTAAGGGCTTATCTGAATCTTGAATAAATAAATTCCCACATATATTTAAGGCTTATCAAGGGTTGGCGCTAGATATCTTACTGCCTGATGCAGTCTCTGCAGTTCCTAAATTCTGCTACCAAATGCTTCCCTAAGTTCTAAATTTTTGCCGCCCCTAAATTTTGGGTCCCAGTGTTTTAGCTAAATTAAAAAAAAAAAAAAAAAAACTGTCATTTCTTAACTTTGTTGCTTGGTGCTTTTCTAAATTCCAAAAATTTTGTCTTCCCTGAATTCTGCCACCTGCCAGTTTTGGGTTTATGTGAATAATAAATCAGTTATTCTTAATTCAAATAGCACTACATGTAATATTTTGGCTTATGAGTATCATTAACAAAATCTGTTTTTAGCATATGGAAAGAAATTTTTGTTTAAAATTTTCCCTCGTCAACATTTCTTAGTGCGTTTAACTTAAATCTGTAATCATCACCAAGTGTAATGTCACCATAAAAGTCGCTATACTCTTTGTTATTCAATTACAAATATAAAAAATTTTAGGCATCGATGCATGAGTCATTACTCAAGTTGTCTTGTGTTGGTAAACGCGCGGTAATGAAAGCAAAATATAATAAAAATTTTTGCCAGATTGCATCAGCGATATAAAATATTAGTAGGTTTAAAATTAATGATGTTCCTATATAGAATGTTTTGATTTGAGAAACATGTCAAGCAGATACACAGGCAAATTACTGATCACTTAAATTTATGCTAAAATTATTGTTTATTATATAAATGAGGTACTTTATCTAGTGCAGAACAGAAATTAAGAATTGGGACTCTCCATATTTTATTATGGGGGGAGGGAGGAATCAAACGTGCATGCATACATAGCATACAAAAAAAATATTCCTTAGAAAAAAGGTTGTTCGTGGTTCCGAGGTCCGGACTTTAGATCATTCAGGATACTGGACATCCGGGATCTCAGACTTTGCACTATATTAATTTTATTATTAAAAATCATCAGTGAAGCCAGCAAAAGCTCACAGACTGTTATATTATAAACTAAAATTATTTTATCAGCATGTTTTTGAAGTTGGTAAGCATACTGTAAATTAATTTTCCGTGCATTTTCTTATATAAAAGAAAACTAAATTTAAATTGTTAGTCATGAAAATTTAGGATTTACCTACATCAGAAAAAAAGGCTGCATGAATCTTGCCATTCACTATTATAACATAGTTTCTCCCTCCTTTCTGCATGCCTTTGTTGTGTAACTGGAAGCATACTTAAGTGTATTCTAGAGGTCCAGTGTTCGAGTCCCAGTTAAGGTTCTGCCATTATTTCATGCCTACTTTAAAAAAAAAAAAAAAAAAACGTAATGACTCTATAAGTGGTTCCTGAACTAAATGTTGGTGGACAATAATTTGTCGCCACCAGGATTTGGTGATTAAGTGCCGTAATCCTCAGTTGCCCTTTAAAAGGGGGAGTATATATTTTCGCCCTCCTTTCCACATGCATTCATGGTGTAACTGAAAGCATACTTGACGCATATTCAAGAGGTACAGGGTTCAAGTCCCAGCAAGGGCACTACACATTTTTCACACCTGTTTAAAAACATAACTAATGACTCTACAATACGGGTTACAAAAAAAGTAAAAAAAATTTAAATTATTATACTTATTTAATTCAATTGGTTTTTCTCCTAATTTTTTTTTAATATGAAATTCTTTAACATGATTCATACAGTGCTATGTACTCAGCTTTTGAAGTTGATAAAGCATCTATCGGTTGTTTCTTTCATATAGAATTAGGTGCTACTTTGGTAGACGGTTGCACAGATTTTGGCGATTCTTTTTTTTGGCTAGCGATACGACTTATGGTAAACTCATTGCTGGACAAGTTATTTATGATAACCGATACTTTGCTGCCATTTTATTTAAAACATAATGCATAAATTCAATGTTTTAAATATTATTTATGGCTTCTAAATATTAAAAATCAATTTAATTTTGCATTTTTATTTGAAATAAAAATTTGATTGTTTATGATATTTTATAATTTTATATCGTGGATGAAGTAATCAATGACGTCACCTTACTTTAAAAGTAATTGGTTTTAATATCTATAAATTTAATCTAATGTTTTAAACATTATTTATGGCTGTTAAATATTAAAATACACTTCAATTTTGCATTTTTTAAATGATTTTATTATGAATGATTATTTAAATAATTTTAATTCTATGCGTGATATAATCAGCTCCCTGATTGGTTACTGAATATTTGTGCATTACCGCGGCATTTTAAAATTTTATTATTTATCACTTCGAATTCCTTAGATTTCAAAGCGAAGAGATATGTCTGTTTCGGAGATGAATGTTGTTATTCGTAATTACCAAGAATTATTGGTTACGGAATCAAAAATTGCCCTTTGAGACCTCATTTTGGCCAATCTGGAATTTCCTAATCAAAGATTTATTTATAAATTGTTACAATGGTCAGAGGAAATTTATTAAAAATTTTTGGAGGAAACCTCGCTAATTGCTTCTTCAATGAAGTGCGAGAGATGTGGATCACAGATGAAGATCGTTAGAAGAGCCGATTCTGAGGACAGTTGTATATGGCATTGTGGCCACGGTGGAACTAACCGCTGTAACGGTAAAAAAAAAATTATTAGACATTCCTCCTTTTTTACCGACACATTTTTTATTGATATCTAAATTATGATTCTGATTTTTTTTGTGGTAAAGTATTTGAATTTAAGTAATATTTTAGATCTTTTAAACATTGGTATGATGTTTTTAATTTGATATTCAATTTAAGTAATATTTTAATCCAATTAAAGGTTGGTGCAATGTTTTTATTCTATTTCTTTGCTATATGAAAGCAATAATTTAACCTTACTTTAGTATTTTATACTCTTAGTAAATGTATTTATTTACATTTGCCAGCCATCTTATGGCTGACGATTGGAAAAACCACACCAATGTAAATCACCAAAAGTCCATGCAACCGTCTACCAAAGTAACCTAGAATTACGTATCTGGAAGTGCTTCTGCTGTTTCTTTGTAAGCTGCATAGTTTGTATCACAGAAAACTTTTCTGTTGAAGTAGAACAATTCCCCAAATATTTAATTTACAACAAGAAGCTGTATTTAATTGCAGCATATGTTCAGTGTGCACTTCCATTTGTGCCAATTAAATGTTTAAAGTGCGTTCTAACATATTCAACATTAGCACAAGGGATTTCTTGAGAAACTGCAAAAATATGATATGCTATGCTTGCTTTGAATTCAGGCAGAGTCCATGCATGTGCTCCCTCCACAGACATGATCTTTCAGGAAAATCCCCATAACCAGAAATCACAGGAATTGGGGTTTAGAGAATGAGCCAGCCATTCAGAAAACTTTGCAAAATTACCTGATAATCTTTAAAGTAAGCACACAAAGCAGTTGCTTCATTCATCAGCCAGTATTTGCATGCTGTACCATCTTGCATAAAGATCGCTAAACATTCTGGTTCTTGCCTAGCTGGAATGACTTACTATAGCAGGAGTTCGTAATAATGCGCACTTGTGCCGGTATGCCTTTCAGGACCTCGAGGAGAGTTGTCTTTAAAGAAACTGGTGCCAAGAATGACATCAGCAGTAAAACCACACCATCACACTATGTAATCAGAATACAGAGGCTATTCATGCACAACAGTGAGACTTGCAGTCTCGTACACACAACAGTTCTGAGTAATCACCTCTCTGTCAAGGGCCAAATGTTTCATCTGACCACAAAATGTTCCAAGTCAATGGCTTTTCTCATTAAAAACTGGCAAGCAATATCAATGCATTTTACAGGTCTTGGGAGTGCAGCGTTTGCACCATGTGGATGTTTTATGGATATTACTTTAAAATGAGCAGCAGAACCTTCCATACCATAGACCAAGGGACAGGTTTAGTGTGATCTCGGCAAAGCACACAAGGGATATCTGCTAAGGATACAGATGCCTTCATAGAGCACTTTCTAAGGGAGACCACATGGCCTACATTCACCTGGAATCAAACCAAGGTCAAACTACCAGTGTTCAGCGATTTTGCTGCTGGGTTAACTAAAATCTTTATGGAGATTGTCGCTATTAGTAATGCTCAAGCTGAACTAACTTTCAGCCTTATGAACAATATTTCTACAATAAGATCACAGTTTGTACAACATATTTCAGATTTAATGACAAGCCACTTAAACAGAGAACTTTTGGAGAAAGTAATCCTATATCTTATGCAAAAACTTTTTTGACAAATTATCACAAGGCCATGGAATTTACCAGAAAATCAATTGGCATGAAAGAAGAAAGAAAAATGTGTGGGCCACTTCTGATATAAATTGTGACACATAATTAAATTTACTCATTATTTTATGTTCTACTTTATTTTTAAAATCTTTTCTTGTTCATGCACAATAACTTGTATTTTCTGTTTTTGTAAAAAGAAAAACATTTAATTATAATCTAATATTTTGTTAAAATAAAGTGAGAGTTCATTGTTAAAATTTTCACAGTTTACTACTGCCTATACCATAATACAGCTTCTGATGTATTATGGTAGGTATCTTCTGATGATGATTTACCTTCAGTTAAAGCACTTGCATTGTTAAATTCCTAGTTAAGAATTATATTATACAAACCATATTTAATTTTATATCTTGTTAAAATCTTTTCACCTTTTCTTTATTGCTACTTTATCATTAAAAAATTCAACTTCACCACTGTAGCACATGTTAATAATAAGTTCTTACTTTAGTTCTCAAACATACAGGATGCCCCAAAAACATTAACCTCTAGTTTTATTCCTTAAATATGATCACAGACACATAAATTACAAAGTTACGTAAAAAAGGTACAGGATTTTATGAAATCAATTAGGGATCAATTAGTTTTCAGGGAATTAAATTTAAAGAAAATACAAAATTTACATTTTTATATGGCCTCCAAGCAGAAAAATTCATAACTAACAAAATGTGCCCCATATGCCAATAAGGTCATGTACAAAATTTCAATATATTACCATAAAAGTTTGCAGAGATATATTTAAACAAAGTAAGTGAGAGGTTGATCATAAATTAAAATGTAAATGCTTACAACTAGATTGTAGTTGACAAATGCATCATAAGCATATAAAGTATGGCTCTTATCTTTTATCTACAAAACTAAATGCTTTTCAAAAAAGTTTTACATGATGAATTAAACTTTTATGTTGCTCATTCAATGAACACTAAAACAGCTTAGAAATGTCCGAGTTTGCAAATTTCTGCCACTCATTGCTGCGTCACATAAGCACAACAGATGCATCATTACTTGAGAAAACTGTTAGTGCTCTACAATTGGTTAATGGTATCTTAAATACTTCACATTTCTGCTACATTTTGAAAGTGTAGTGAAACTGTATAAACAGTATGTTGCAATACAGTAACAAAGAACTTTTTCAAACGCTAATGCTGTACATTTTATGTGATCACAATGCTAATGAAACTGCACAGGAATTTCAATGCAATATTACCAATTTTCAACAACCTTCTGGGAGATTCATTTCCTGATTAAAGCAACGAATGTGTGAAAGGGAAAGTGTACATCCAAGGTGGTTCCAGTAGGCTCAGACTTCATTCAAGTGATGAAGAAATTGATATCGTGAGTTACTTTAATAGCCATCGACACAGTAGTGTTCGTACCACTGCTTTAAAAATGAATGTACCTCATACAAGAGTGTGGTGAGTAACGAGATAAAATAAACGGCATCCATGTAGCATTAGAGGTATGCAAGGAGAGGAGCCATCAGATTACCAACATTGTGTTGATTTTTGTAACTGGGCTCTTAATCAGCAAGATTAAAATCCCTCTTTCTTGAAAAACATAATATGGACTAACAAATGCTACTTTAACCTTTTGGTCTGGGTACACCTAAAAATTTCCCTCTGTAAACATAGAAAATTTGAATGAAAAAGGATTTATACATTACTCTGAACCTTCTTTATTTATACCAAGATGTCCGCACAATATAAAAAAAAAACAGTCTATATATTTTAGCCATGTTTAGTTTTTAAAGAAATCTTCCAGTTTTTTTTTTTTTTTTTTTGTATATAAGGAATTGTTCAAAAAGAAATTTCTATGTTATTTTCTTGGCTATCTCCTTATTCTGTATTAGTTTCAAATTTTTACATTGAAATCCTCCCTAAAATCGAACGGTGAACGTCAGGTGCGCCCAGGAGAAACTAGTAGGACCAGACGGACAACTGTATTTTTGTTTCACTACAGCGCTCCTTCACAATAGAAAGGTGGGTCCACATCTGTGTTTCATTTTCTGTTTTTCTTT